GGCAGGCTGGTGAATTATGCATGACTCCAGGAGGGGAGCGTTATCTGCACGGACAAAGGCCTGTGCCAGCAGCCCGGCTCCGCTGTACCTGTGCCTTCCTTCGCCCGCGCTTTATCTCCGCTCCCAGCTTGTAATTCAGCCCAAATATCAGAGGAAGCTGCAAGATTAATTTTCTCTGTTTGCATGGCAAAGGAGAGGGGACACGCTCTCACTCCCGACTCCCAGCTGGTTAATCCTCCACCAAGGCCTGCCCAAGGAAAAGGCAAAAATTTATCAGTGTTGGCAAGTCGCTGGCGTGGGGAGGGGTGCTGGAGCCCGGGGCCCCCCATGAGCAGGTTGTGGGCACTCACAGCAGGCTTCATGTGTGGGTAAGGTTTGGGGGGCAGTAAGAAAATGCAAACCCTTCCCTCCTCCCCAGCATTTGGGTCCAGAGGAGGTGTGGGCTTGGGAGAGCCGGAGTCAGAGAGTCCCTCCGGCGTGGGAGCGTTCGCGGCTGTGAGTCGCTCAAATATTTAAGAGATGACAACTGTATTAATACAAAAACTAGATAAAGATCCCTTGAGTTTAAAGACAGAACCATCAGCTCAGCTCTTATTTTCCAGCCCTCTCCCTTAGCTTGCTCCCTGGCTTAAATGAAATCATAAATATCGGCCCACAAAGGTCCTTTGTCACCGCACGCAGCTCCCGGCGACAAGAGGTCATTCATTAAAAGCCAGATGAAGGCAATAGAGACTCCCTTTGTTTTTTAAGGAGTTCAGGACAAGGCCGTGGCTTCTCTGCTGACATTAATGCACCGTTTATGGCGGCTTTGGCTCATCCCATCCAAGTGATCTTCACTCTGAAGTTGATAAAGAAACATCCTGGGTTCCCTCAGGTGGGACATCCCAGACGAATGAACCTGGTTTGTTGTTGGACTGATGGCAAAACCAGGGCCCCTTTGGCCTCCTCCTCACAGATCCTATGGGCTCCTTATCCCCCTCCTCACAGACCCCAAGGGCTCCTTTATCCCCCTCCTCCCAGCCCCGTGAGTGATGCTCTGGCCACATTTTGCCCTGCTGAGGGATGGCCCAGGCCCTGCAGCTCCCGCCCAGCACAAGAGCCTGATGCCATCTGCCGGCCTCTGGCTCTGGCCAGCCAGGAGAAATCAGAAATTAATTCCCTGAAAGGTCCATCTCCCTGTGGCTAAACCCTGGCTGCTCTCCCTGCTCAGCCTGATGGATTTTTTCCTCACACTACTGAACAACTCCTTTTTAAAGCCCTGCTGTATGAATGCATCAAGAGAAATGCACCTAAGATAATTTTTTTCTCTCTTTTTTTTCCCTAGAGAAAGGCTGTTGTCTTAAAAGTTTCTAATTCCCCTAGCTTGCCCCTGCCTTTTTATTTTTTGAATGGCTGTTTATGAAGACCATCGTGGTCTAACTGGTTTTGGATTAAAAGGAACTTAATAAAGGTTTCCCCTGAGCACAAAGCTGCACAAATGGGTTTGCAATTGCAGAGTTAATTACAGGAGCTGGGCAGAGCAATCGGTGTTTGCAAAGCTTCACCAGAGGATGAGGCTGGCAGGGAGAGCTTTGGCTTTGCTCTCCGCTCTCACCGTGAGGCACTGGGGCAGGTTTCCTTCCATTTTGCCCAAAAGATGGAGGGATGGGGTTGCCAGGGATGCCGTTGGGATTGGCACCAACCTTGGTGACATCGTGGTGACATCTTGGTGACATCCTGGTCACATCCCAGGGTCACACCCTGGGGTCAGCCAGTGCTGCCCAGTGAAGGGTCTGGGGGGGCTGCAGCAGGAGAATGGGCTGGAGACCAACCCAGCGAGGCTGAGGGAGGAGCTGCAGGAGAATTTCTGCTGCCTGAGAATGTGAAGTGCTTCCGCCAGTAATCGCCGGAATCATCAAATTAGCATAAATTCTATTAACGGTTTCCCAGATGAGACATTTCAGGGCTTCTCCAACCCCCCTCCCTTTTCCTGACACAAACAAAAAGAGAATATAATTACTTTGCCATAAAGCAGCTCCTGAAAAGGCCCTCAGCCCTTCTGCCTTTCTTCTCCTGTGGAATAAAGCTCCAAATGAAAGGTGCTGCTGACCTCTGTGCTCTCACCATTCATCAACCCAGGAGGAGAAAAGAGACTCCACAATGGTTTCAGAGCCTGGGACTGAGCAGGAACCCATTTGCCAGGTCCACATCATGGATGGGGGGTTCTGAGGAGCTTTTTGGGGTGCTCAGACCCTCCTGATTCAGAGGAGGGTTTGGAAGGATGACATTTGAACACATATGGAGGAAATGTAATTTGTGTAGCACAAGCCCAGCACCTACTGCAGTAACTCACAACAAGCACCGCGGGGGCAATCCTCTAAAATAATGCGCTTTTTTATTGGCACGAGATTGCGGATGACAATTGGAAAGAGAACAGAATTTGCTTATGAGCAAAAGCCTCCTTAATTCTTCACAACGACACTGAAACAACTCGCCTGCCTATAAATACGGTCTGCCAATAGAGGCATCTTAGCTGCGAAGATTTAATTACAGGCAGGAGCTGCAGGAGGCCGGGGCTGACATCAAAACAGCTGAGCCTCATCTCAAATTGGGGATGTACCTGCACAAGAGGCTCTCGCAGAGCCAGGTGTGACTTTCAACCTCCAGCTTCTTCCCAGACGGGGAAATTGGGCTTTTGGGTGATTTCCTGTACTATAAGGTAATATGTTAAAGTCAGAACCTTTCTCTCACTTGGCCATGGGCTCAGAGGATGAGTTGTGTCTCTTCTAGGCCGCAGTTCCCCAATAAATGTAGATAATTTTGCCTCTCTTCTTCAAGGAAGCCGCTTTAATGCTTACTTTTCCACACATCTTGAGGCCTTTTACAATCTATTACGAATTAATTATTATTAAGTTAAAACAAACTATATACCCTAAATAAAGCAGCTCCAACAAAGCAGCTGGATGATGAGAGCAATCTGCTTTATGAACTCCCCTTTCCACTGCGCAATTTTCAGCATTTAGTTCCGCTTTCTAATTGCTAATATCCATTCTTCAATTACCCGCTGTTTTGTTTCAGATTTAAAAGATTAAAGCACGTTGTTATTTTATGATTATGTGAATTCCCTTTGTGTAATTGTTAGGTTTGGGTTTTATCCGTTTGCATATTAAACGCCTGCACAGGGAAGACTCGTATGTGGCTTGAAATGGGTTTCGCCTTTGGCACAACTTGCCGGCTGTTACTCAAATCAACATTTAAAGACGAAAAGCAGGCAAGGCATCGTATTTCTCAAATGACAACACTCCATAAACAGCCTGGCGCTGAATTTCAACGCTCTGCAGCTGCACCCAGCCCCTTGCACTGACCCTTTGCAGAACCAGCACGGGGGATCAGGGTCACACGAGCCTTGTGGCAATAGCTTTGCTGGACATAACAACCAGGTTTGGCCTACGAAAGGCTTTTCCTGTCCAGAACAGCCCCTCTGGAGGGCGGACAAGGAGCAGGCCCAGGCCTGAGGGGCCCGGGCCCGCCCGGCGTTCCCGTTGCTAAGCAACGCGTGCTTCAGCA